AGTCCCTGAGGGCACTGTGCCTGTTGTTGGGGTACAGTCCCTAAGGGCACTGTGCCTGTTGTTGGGGTACAGTCCCTGAGGGCACTGTGTCTGTTGTTGGGGTACAGTCCCTGAGTGCACTGTGCCTGTTGTTGGGGTACAGTTCCTGAGGGCACTGTGCCTGTTGTTGGGGTACAGTTCCTGAGGGCACTGTGCCTGTTGTTGGGGTACAGCAAGGCACTGAGGCAAAGACGGCGCCAGCACACACCAGCTGATAACAGCTAACACAGCATGGGCTAGGAACTGCAAGTTGATTCCAAAATGACATAATAACCTTGTGATTACAGTCATGTGCTTTATACCTTAGAGTCTGATATCTCATTCTCCAACTCTGACCTCTTGTTGACCTCCCACACATTTTACTCCACCATTGGTAGCCGTGCCTTCTGCTGCCATGGACTAAATTCAGGAATTCCTCCTATGCCCCTGTTTGGGCTGCTAAGTGGTAAATAATACTTGTGCACCCCGAAATGTAAGGCAGTTCTCCAACAATAGAGATTCATTTCAGGCTCTCCAGTTACCATTTGCTAAATCTCCCACCATCAACATCCTGGGATCATCATTTATCAAAATAATTTAATCATTATTTGATTCATTGTTAGATTAGATTGGATTATCATGATCAAATTCCAGACTGTAGCCTACTTCTGGATATCTGTTACTCTATTTATAAACCATTTTGAACACCTTGATTAGATTCAGTCTTGCAGGTATCTGTTATTCTGTATAATATCCACCCTGATCCCCCGATTAGATTCCAATCTGTAATTCACTCCCGGGTGTCTGTTATTCTCTTGACAGACCACATCAAACAACCCTCCAAGTCCCACTCTGTCCTGACTTGGAAATATTCCATAATTTTTTTGCTTACTGGGTCAAAGTCCTGGAACTTCCTTCTTAACAGGATTCTGGACATTGACATACCTCAAAGACTGCAGCAGTTCAAGGAGACAACTCACCACCGCCTTCCCCAGGACAGTTAGGGATAGGCAATAAATACAATCATAACTGGCGACGCCTAACTCCCAGGTACGTATAAAAGTATTAGATTCCACTCTGTAACTCACTTTCAAATATTTATTATTCCATTTATAAACCACACCAACTCCCCTCGATTAGATTTGGATTGTGCCTTAATCTGGGATGACTGATATTCTATTTATAGCCACTCCAAACCCCTTGATTAGATTTCAGGTTATACCTAGCTCCTGGGTTATTGTTTATGTCTAAACCTTCCAGACCCCTCAATCAGAATCCAGATTTGATCTCAGAAATGGATTGTACATTTTACTTCTTTTCTAGAAACATTGTGAGGCAATATTATTCTGACTGGGCTCACAAAGGAAGCTAGGACTGAACATTTCACCTTGTTGGAGCTGATGTTAATGAAATAGCGCATTCAGTCTGTTCTTCAGATGGTTCTGACTGTGAAGGGAATGTTTAGTGGATGTTTGGCAACAGAATGGTCACTTAAATTAAACAGACTGAGGCATTGGAAAGAAAAAAAAAACTGGAAATAAATTCTTCAGTGCTTGGCTATTGCTTGAGGAAGGATGACGCGAATGTTTTAGTCATCTCTGAGTCATTTGCAACGTGAGTCCCGTTTAAATGAAACACCGTCCTCTGTGGGGTTACTGAGTGAGAGGGCAGGATTTCAGGGCTGATTCCAAACTATCTCAACCCTGTGAACTCAATTTATCAAACTCGGCAACATTGGAGCAGTTGTATTTCATAGAGGCGTGGAATCATAGAATCATTTCTGTTGATTTGTTTCCAAACTGGGTTCACAAGCCTGTAATTAACCAATTAAAGCATTGTAGAGTTTGTTTGAATTCCAGTTAGGGATATCAGGAAATTGGAAAAGCATGTGCACTCTCTCCTCTCCTTGGGTAATGTGCATTGTGCCTCATTGAAGAGCAGATGGGGGCATTTCACCGGTGTCTGAGAGTACCAGAGAGCGGGTTAACACCTTATGATCTAACCATCCACATTCTGGATTATGAGATTAAATTGATTCATTTAACAACTAGTCTCTAATCCCTGCTCCCTGCTGATTTAGCTGATCTCAGCTGGGTGGCACCTCAATTAGCCTCTGTATTCTTGATCTGCCCAGAGGCAAATTCTGAATCACTGTACAGTGCTATCTGTTAGAAAGTGTCAGGATCAGATGAGGACAGTAACAGATGAGCCCTACAATCTTCACCAATTCTGCTCTCTTGTACAATCCGAATTCTAATCACTCCACCATTGGCAGCTGTGTTTCAGCCTCTGAGGCTTAAAGTTCTGGAATTCTTACTCTAAATCTCTCCACTTCTTCCTTCCTTTAAAATACTCTGTAAAGCTGACCTTTTTGATCAAATTTCTGGTTATCTGTCCTAAATATCCACCTAGGCTCGGTAACTAGTGTGAAAAACTGAAAGAACAGCGGATGCTGTAAATCAGGAACAAAAACAGAAGTTGCTGGAAAAGCTCAGCAGGTCTGAGGAAGGGTCACCAGTCCTGAAATGTTAACTCTGATCTTTTTCTTCACAGATGCTGTCAGACCTGCTGAGCTTTTCCATCAACTTCTGTTCTGTCAGTAACTAATGTTGTTTGCTAACTTTCCTGTGAAATGCCTTGAGATGATACACAATGCTAAAGGTGCTATATAAATGCAAAATATTATAGTTGTTTGTGAGATTTCCTCACTGTGTGCCCCCTTCAAAACAAAATTGAATAGTTTGCAAACATTTATCAACAAGACTCAATACAAAAGGAACAGATACTTGGGTAAAGGACTGGAGGGACCCTGGCTGCTCATATACTGACCCCTGATCATCGTCTTCAGAAGTGAAGCGTTAGAATTATTGAATTGGAGAGCACAGACGAGATCATTCTGTGCATTGTGCCTTTACTGGCTCTTTGCAAAACTATCCAGTTAGTCCCAATGCCCTACTCCTTCACCATCTCCCAGCGAACTGGTCACCTTCATATATTTATTCAACTCCCTTTTCAGGATGAGTATTGAATCTCCTGCTACTGCCATCGCACGCAGTGCATTCCGGACTATAGCGGCTCACTGCATAACACATGTTTTCCTCATGTCGTCGTGGGATGTTTGGGAACCTCTGATTACCAAACCCTTCTGCCACTGGATGTGGTTTCATCTTATTTACTCTGTGAAAATGCCTCCTACTTTCAGACACCACTATTAAAACTCATAAAAATAAAATACTGCAGATGCTGGAAATCCAAAATAAACGCAGAGAAGGCTGGAGAAATTTAGCAGATCTGGCAGAATCTATGGAGAAAGAAATGGAGTATGATTCTTCTTCAAAGCTGTGATCTTGTTCTGTTTCAAGGAGATCACAGCTTCTCCAGTTTCTCCTTATGGCTAAAATTTGTCATGCTCTAGTATATCTCCATCTTGCCCTGTCTGAAGTTTTGAAATGCTTAAGTGTAGCACCTCAAATTGGACACACCAAGGCTGGAGACTTAACTGGTGATTTATAAAGGTTTAGTGCAACAAGTTAATGGCAAAGGTGGAAAAATGTTCAAGTCTTAGCTTTAGTGCAACAACATTAAAATCAAATGAGAGTTTTAGTCAATGGATGCACTGTTCTGCCAATATTTCAACGAATAACAGATTGTTCAAAGGCTTTAATTAGCTGATGTTTGTAAGCCAATTTATTTGCCGCAGATCCATTGATGAACACTGGGGGAGAATTAACAGCAGATTGTTCTAAACCAAAGATTAACACGAGGAAATTCTACGGTAATGCAGAGACGTGTAAAAATATAAAGTGAATTGTTAAAGGATGATTGGCTTTCATATTGAATGTTTTGTTTTAGTTGCACTACTGAGGGAGTGCTGCACTGCCAGAGGTGTCATATTTTGGATGAGGTGTTAAATTGAGGCTCCAAGGCACGCGAAATATCCCACAGCGCTATTTTTCTGAGAAACAGGGAATTCTCCCCTGTGTCCTGGCTAATATTTATGCCTAGGGTGGCATCACATAAAACAAATTACTTGGTCATTATCACATTATGATTGATTTTTGATTTGATTTGATTTGATTTATTATTGTCACATGTCCGTAAGTACAGTGGAAAATGTTGCTTTGTGTGCGATACAGGCAGATCATAACACACAACAATTGAACAGAACGAGGAATACAGTTACAGCTGCAAAGAAGGTGCACAAAAAGCAAGATCAACATTAGATTTGAAATTTGAGAGGTTCGTTCAGAAGTCTGATAACCGCAAGGAAGAAGCTGTTCTTGATTGTAGGAGCTTGCTTTGTACACATTGACTGCCATGTCTCCTACATTATACCAATGACCCCATCTCAAAAAGTACTTAATTGTCTATAATAAGTGCTTTGGAATATCCGATGGTCATAAAAGATTATTGAAGATTATATGACTCAGCACAGAGTAAGGGTGATTTCTCAGTTATCAAAAAAACCATTTTCCAAAATTGCGGGAATGACAATTTTCTGACTAATGACATTTTCATGTGACTGATGTTTCTGTATTTCTCTTTTCATTGATACTCAAGACATTCCAGTCCATCATTTTATTGACCTTGCACTTTGTCATGAGACCCCTTCCTATCCAACCCTAACCTATCATATCCTATCTGATCTCCTATCTGCCAGCCAGTAACCAAGGAAACGGATTTAAAATAATTGGTAAAGAATTCAGAGGAAAACATGGAAATATTTTACACAATCAATTGTTATGATCTTCAATGCACTGCCTGAAAAAGGTTGTAAGTAGATTTAATTGTGATTTTTAGAAGACAGTTGGATAAATACTCAAAAAGTAACAAATACAGAGCTGTGGAATAAGAGCATAAGAATGAGACAAATTTGATACCACTTTCAGAGAATCAGCACAGGTTAATGGCCTCCTGATGTGCTGGAAAATTCAATAATTGCTTTTTCCCGTCTTATTCCTGTAAACCTTATTTCCGAACAGGTGGACCACAATATCTCACTGAAACGCAGTTGAAAGGAGAGGGAAATGGTCACTCTGTGAAAGTGATGCACTGAAATACCAGTGGCCAAGGTAACACGCAGTGACCAGCTTCGAGATGCCAGCTGACTCGGAGCCCTGGAGGTGAGGCACTTTGCCCATATCGGGGAGAGGCTGAGGTTACTAACGTCCCATGCCACTGGATGGATCAGACTGTAAACAACCAGCAGGTTAAAACAAAACACACAGAAAATGCTGTGAACGCTCAGCAGGTCAGGCAGCATCAGTGTTGGGAGCGAACTTTTCAGGTTTGTCACCATTCAACATCAGAACTGCCAAAACCCTTGATCTTTCTGATAAGTCCCAGCCCCATGTCCTCACCCAGCCTGTCATTCAATCCGAAGAAACATACTAAACATAGCAGCCAATTTTGCACTCAGCAATTTCCCAGAAAGTGCAATGTGACAACAACCAGATCATCTAATTTTGGTGCCATGGGATTTTTAAGAGAGAGGGTAGGCAGGGGCTGATACAATCATAAATGTCGCCACACTACCAGAAGGATGTGGTGGCTTTGGAGAGGGTACAGAAAAGATTTACCAGGATGTTGCCTGATATGGAGGGCATTAGCTATGAGGAGAGATTTTAGAAACTTGCGTTGTTCTCACTGGAACGATGGAGGTTGAGGGACGACCTGATAGAGGTCTACAAGATTATGAAGGGCATGGACAGAGTGGACAGTCAGAAGCTTTTTCCCAGGGTGGAAGAGTGAGTTACCAGGGGCCATGGGTTTAAGGTGCGAGGGGCAAGGTTTAAAGGTGATGTACGAGGCAAGTTTTTTACACAGAGGGTGGTGGGTGCCTGGAACTCGGTGCTGGAGGAGGTAATGGAAGCAGATACTATAGTGACTTTTAAAGGGTGTCTTGGCAAATATATGAATAGGATGGTAATAGAGGGATACGGTCCCCGGAGGAGTAGGGGGTTTTAGTTGTGACGGGTAGCATATCTGTGCAGGCTTGGAAGGCCGAACGGCCTGTTCCTGTGCTGTAATTTTCTTTGTTCTTTGTTTGGATGCAGAATAAATTATTTGAACCTGCAGTACTTCTGTGCACCATTTTAAACTGGGAATGCCCGGCTGTTATTAAATGTAAATCCCTCCGGCTGCACCTGGTAAATTCTAATCTGGAACTCCTACAGCATTAATCCTGACCTCTAGATTATAAATCCAGTATCATTACCACTATGCCACCATTCAGTCAATGCCTCAATGAATAAACATTTCCTATACTACCCCTATTGCTTCACTGTGCATCATGTGGAGAAGCTGGGAGGAAAACTGGACTATAGCAGGAGACAAAATAAGTCAAAGAGTTAAATAACGACACATTTGGTATTTAAGCATCAGCCCTTATTGGGAGAGATGAATACAGTGTAAAGTCTCCCACTCCTTTGAGAGAGTGGCAAAGTTCAATTTCAAGTGAGTGAAGACATTAACTCAGAGAACAAAGGAGGAGGGGTGAGTGGGGCTGAGAGACAGCTGGACAGAAATGCTGCAGCCTCACTTGGGAAGATGTGAAAGGTGGGCGACATTAGAATTTAGAGAGGGTGAGCAACTTGCAACTGCAGAAAGGCAGACTGGGGAATATTCGGGAGGTGGAAGGTGCTGACACTATACCTTACACAGTAGCAACGTTGTGTTGATTTTCTCACATGCCCAACTTTGAATTCCAGGATAGTTGTGTCCACCCCACCATGCTGGATACTTGAGGTAATTTGGCAAGTGAAATGTTTATAAATTAGCCGTGGATACGATGGTTAATTCTGACAACCTTTACGTATTGATGTTAAAGATGTAGCTTGGGTTAAGTCCCACTTAGGAAGAAATCTGGTTTTTTTCTCAGAAATCATTGGTACCTCTTTCCTGCTGTGCCTTTGGCTTCAGGGCCTTAAACTCCAAGATTACTAATATGAACCTCTTTATCTCTCTCTCACTCTCTCTTTTGAGATGCTTCTTAACACCTACCCCTTTAAACAGATCTTTGGTCATCTGTCCTCATATCTCCAAGTAGGGAATGTTTTCACATTGATTTAATTGCTCCAGGGAAATTCCTTGGGTCGTCTTACTGCGTTTAAGGTGCTATTTAAATTCAATTTATTACTGGACGCAGTACGTCATGCTGGCATCCCTGGATGGTAGCAGTTTTGGGGCATCTGATTGTGTGATGTTGAACACTGAATATTGACAATTTATAGAGAAGGGCTAGGGGATAAAGAATATCTACGCAGATGGTAATCAGGAACAGGAGCCCTGACTAATTGTCATTTCAAAACCGTAGAGCATGGAAAGAGGCCATTCAGCCCAATGTGGCTGAATCAACTAGCCGTCATTCTAATGCCACTTACCAGCACCTGGTCCATAGGTTTCCAGGTTCCACCACTTCAGTTGCAGGTTCCTCTTAAACAAGTTGTGAGGTTCCTGCCTCCACCTAACTAGACAACAACTCCAGGTTCTGAAATTGGGTCACTGGACCCTAAATGTTAACTCTACTTTCTCTCTCCAGATGCTGCCAGACCCGCTGAATTTTCCAGCATCTGCAGTTCTTTGTTTTATTTAATTTAGCAAACCCCAGGTGAACTGGTTTTCCTCATGTCCCCTCTTATACTTCTATTAATATCCTTAAATTCCACCCCCTCTCCCCCCACAAGTATTTGACCTGTCTGCCAGGGGAAACAGGCCTTCCCTGTTCAATCTATCTAAGGCCCTCATTCTTTTGTACACCTCAATTATGTCACCCATTAGCCTCCTCTGTTCAAAGGAAAATAATCCCAGCCTTTTCATTTTTCTCCCATAGCTACAATTTGCAAACCCTGGCAAAACATTCTTGTAAATCTCCTCTGTATTACCTCCAGAACAATTATGTCCTAGCTCTGGTGGTGGCCAGATCTGCTCTTCAGTTCAGAGATGTTGAGGTCAATAAAGTTTAGCAAACTTAGGAATTGAATTAAAACCATCTGGTTCACTAATGTCCTTTAGGTAAGGGGAATCTACTGTCTTTACCTGGTCTGGCCTATATGTGACTCCAGATCCACAGAAATGTAGTTGACTCTAACTGCCCTTTGAAATGGCTAAGCAAATCATTTAATTCCACTTTCTTCAAGGCAACTAGGGATGGGCAAGAAATGCTGGCCCAGCTAGTGAACCCACATATACTATGTGTGAATAAAAAAAGTTATTGGCTCAGTACTAAACCAGGCCAATACATTTACTCAATGGCTTTGCATTACAGAAAGCTTGACTGAAAAGGCCATTTTTGGTGCCTATCAAATTATCTTATACAAGGTACAGCAGAGTGAATGGAATTCAGTTGCTATGTGGCACCATTCCAGCCATGCTCAACACTCAGTCCATTTCTGTACACTGAGTACTCATTTGCCATCTGGTTAATATATCATGACCTGGTCAATGCAGCACTGTAAACAAAAGAAGGAGCGTGAATGCTGCATGAATCCACCCTGAGTCACTATTATAGGGCAGGAAATGCTGCGATGAAAAGATAGTGGAGAGCCCTGATAGAAACCTCCTTATAAAGAATTGCTTTAGTGTGTGGAGAAGAGGGAGTGTGAGGGTGTTTGTGTGTGGAGTGTATGAGTAAGTATGCATTTGAGTGTACTGTCTGAATGAGAAGAAGTGACTCTGAAAATAAATTGGGTGTATTTCAAGAAATCTGTCCCTTCATCAAGGTCGGTACTGGGGATCAGAACAATCCTGTTTCCTCTGCCCAGGACCAGTGAGAAACATTCAACGCCCTCTACTCTGACCTGGTCCAATCCATAACGTGAGAGGGGAAAGATTTAAAAGGGACCTGAGAGGAAACTTTTCCATGCAGAGGGTGGTGTGTGTATGGAATGAGCTGCCAGAGGAAGTGGTCGAGGTGGTACAATACACCATTTAAAAGATATTTGGACAGGTACATGGACAGGAAAGGTTTAGAGAGATAAGGACCAAATGCAGGCAAATAGGATTAGTTAAGTTTGGGATACTGTTTGACATGGATGAGTTGGACCAAAGGATCTGTTTCTGTGCTGTATGACTCTATGACTCTAAGAGCAACATTCATGGCACCAGCGAGCCATGCCTCCCTCTCACACCAGCTAGCCATTAATGAAGAACACTAATTTACAGTCAAATTCAGAGCAGACTTTTGTGCTAAAGGCTGACACCAACTGAGAACTGAATCATTAATGTCCTCAAATTCGGTTCACAAAGGACCCACTGAAAGCACCAGGAGGTGAAGAAGCCCAGCCTTCACCCGCTGTGTCGTGTTTCCAAATTCTTGTGCTGTGGCTGTTCTGTCCATTGAGTCTTCTGCATACCCTTTAGAATGAGAGTCCCATGTTCTGAATCAGAGAATGCACCCTGGGCTATTCTAAGGCAGTCGTTGTGTTCATCAAATTGTGGCTTAAATTGTCAATATGAACAGTATTGGTGTGAACTTTGAGACTTTTATTCTGTCATTCAGTGATTTCATTTCTGGAATTGGGGATGAACTGGGAACCAAGTGGGAGATATTGCTGAATTCAACAGGAATTTTGAGGAACTTTTCATTGTGTGTGTGTCTATGGTAGTGGATGTGTGAGTGGTTCTCTGTGTGTGTGTGTGTGTGTGTGTGTGTGTGTGTGTGTGTGTGTGTGTGAGAGAGAGAGAGAGAGAGAGTGTGTGTATGTATGGGCTTGTAGGTACAAACATGTTGTTGCTATTTCTTATGAAAATAAATGGGATGGCATGGTGGCTCAATGCTGCCTCACAGCGCCAGGAACCTGAGTTCGATTCTAGCCTTGGGTGATTGTCTGTGTGGAATTTGCACATCTCTTTGCACATTCTCCCCGTGTCTGCATGGGTTTCCTCTGGGTGCTCCGGTTCCCTCCCACGGGATGGATTCAGTGAATTGGCCGTGCTAAATTGCCCAGTGTCCAGGAATTTGCAGGCTAGGTGGGTTAGCTGTGGGGAAATGCGTGTTACAGGGATAGGGTGGGGAGGGGGTGGGTCTGGGTAGGATGTTCTTTCAAGGGGTGGTGTGGACTCGATGGGTTGAATGGCCTGCTTTCAGACTGTCAGGATTCTATGTGGGTGTGTATGTATGAGTGTGTAAGTGAGCACGTACAAAGCTGTAGGTGTATATGTATGAGCATTTGGCAGGGTTGTGTGTTTGTGTATATACGGGTGTGCGTAGGTGTGTGCCATTTGAAGATGAGTTAAATTTGCATTTCAGAAAAGGTTATGTAACAACAATGTCAGTTTGCATTTATATGGCACCTTTAACACAGTTCACTATCCTCCTGATGCTTCACAGGAATAAAATCAGAAAGGAATTGACACTGGACCAGACAAGGTGATAATGCAACAGATGACCAAATACTTAATCAAAGAGGTAGGTTAAAGCAAGGGCGATAGAGCAAGGCAGAGAATTTGAAGGAGGGAACTGAAGAGCTTAGTACCTCTGAAGCTGCGCAATATCTGCTCAAATGGTATCTGTAGTTCACTGGAATCATGGAGTGAATAGACAGCTGCCTAATGTTACTGCAATAAAACAATAATGTTAGTGACCTAAGAATTCAGAAGACTGAACCA